TTTCATTAATTTGTCTTCCAAGGTACTTCTTAGAAGTTGTTGAATTTATTTCAAAAAAGATTTTTGTAATATGCTTTCTATATCCTTTTAAATTCAAAAAAGAAAAAGACGAAGACCTTGTCACCAGCAAATTTAAAAGGGAGTACTGGGGATGTAGCTCAGTGATAAAGGACTTGCTTAGCATGGGTGAGGCCATGGGTCCAATCTCTAGTACTACAAAATTTAAACAAAACAAAACAAGAAATCCATGCAACTAGAGGTCAAGGTAGTTTAGGGCAAGGGGTAGTGGCCAAAAGAGGCTTCTGGCAAGTTGGTCTTGACCATGGGGAGGCATGTTCAGTTTGAACTATTTATGTATGTGCATTTTTCTTAGATGTAATATATTTCAACAAATTTTAAAAGTAAAAGAATATTTCACAAGCAGGACGCTTGTAAGGAATACATTGAAAACCATTTGTAGTGCATGTAGTATACATGAGGTCAGTGGGAAATGTTTATAAATGTCCTTTAATTCATAGTTAATTATTTGGCCAGTGGGCTATCAATTATTGAATATTGGTTCCCAACTTCTTCCATCCAAGGGTGGAGAAATCAAGGGAAAATGACACATGTGTTAATGACAGTAGCACACACATATTAAGCACCTGGCATGTGCTTGGGGCTCAGAGCTTACATTTAGTACCTCACAGCAACCCATGAGATCCAAATCTTTTGTTCCATTTTACACATGAGAACAATAAGGCTCAGAGAAAGTCCCTCGCCAAACTCACACAGTGAGGAAATGACTAAGTTGACAGGACGCAGGCCACCAGAGTCTAGCGCTCATACCCCTGACCTCTGTGACTCCCCTTGTGTTCCCCTTCCCACTCCCTACTCACACACAAAGGGGGAAGTGATGAAATCAGTGTTCAGCTGAACTGCAAGTTCAAACAAGGAAGTGTCAACAGCTCAGAGATGAGAATAGGGCCGGAGAGCTTCTTGTCTCCATCTTTCAATTCAAACTCCCTAATCCGAAATGCTTCGGCCGGGGATTTGTAACCCTAAACTCCCGTTTTTTCCCAGATCACTTTACAGCTTCAAGCTCGAGGGGTTCTTCCTGCTCCTGAGCCAAAAAGCAAACACAGAGGGAGGGCTGGGCTGGCAAGATTGTCTGGTTCTTGCGAAGATGGCTTTTGTCTGCATTCCTCCTGACCCCTCCTGGATGTCTTAGGGCTCCTCAAGACACCTCCTTGGGCTTCTCAAATTTTCTTCTTTTAAGGTTCACAGAATAATAGACTCAATATATTTTCTCCCAGAAAAGCTTGTTGAATAAGGGGCCTCTATGATGACACTGTAGTCCCCAGTGAGGTGGTTTAAGCAGAACTCTAGCTCCAAATGTTCAGAACCTTTGTCCAGGCCCTGCCACCTATGTCCTGTGCCTTCCATGCCCTCGCAGCACAGGGCACCAACTCTGTGCCAGGTATAAAGCCAGGGCTACATTTGTCTCCCCTAGTTTTAACCCTCCCACTGCCTCATGTCATAGGTGAGGAAACTGAACTCAAAGTGTACAGAATTATACTATGTGTGTAAAAGTCTGCTAAGAGGATAGAGCTCCTATTAAATGTTCTTGCCATAAAAAAATGTTCAAAACTCAACAGAAGAACAAAGTTCTACAAGCAGTTAGAGAAAAGAAACAAATCACATACAAAGGAAAGCCCATCAGAATCACAGCAGACTTCTCAACA